TGGATGGTGGATGGATGGTGGATGGTGGATGGTGGATGGTGGATGGTGGATGGTGGATGGATGGTGGATGGTGGATGGTGGATGGTGGATGGTGGATGGTGGATGGTGGATGGATGGTGGATGGTGGATGGTGTGGAGGATACCTGACTTACACATGCACTCGCGTGCGCACACACACACACACACACACACATACACATACATGCGTTTTTGAAGGCAGGCAAGATGGCTCAGCTGGTGAAGGCACTTGTCACCTGATGCCCTGAGTTTGATGCCAGGGCTTACATGGAGGAAGGAGAGAATTGAGTTACATAAAGTTGTTACCAGACCACTACAAACATGTTATGGTACATGTGTGCCTACACACATACATAAATACATCCACACAGTCATAAATAAACAAAATTTAAAAATTTTAGTAAAAGGCTGGGCATGGCAGCATACACATTTGATCCCAGCATCTGGAGGCAGAGGCAGGTGAATCTCTGAGTCTGAGGTAGCCTGGTCTTCAGTGACTTCCAGGACATCCAGGGGCTACACAGAGAAACTGTCCCCGCCCCCCTGAAAAAAAAACAAAATAAATAACAAAAATTTAATTGAAAAAAATTTAAAGGAAGCAATAAACAAAAGGGTCTCTCCAATGTGTCAGGCCATGAGTTGTCTCCATGAGATCCCAGGGGCCCTCAGGCCTTGCCCTGGCCTGCTCTAGTGGGCAAATGTTAGGGTAGCACAGGGTGAGGAGCCACCCAGAGGCTAAGAGCAGAAAGGTGAGCCACACAGTGACACCTCATGAGGATGGTGTCCTCCCAAGTTTCTGAAACACTGTGGGGTATACTGCCCTGTTTCTGTTCTGCACTTGGACCCCCACCCTGGTGTCTAGGAAGACACTGGGTCACATGACATGCTTCAGAGAGTCTGGGTTGGCATAGGGCTACTGGCTGAAAAGAAGCAAGGAATGGCTTAGGTTTTCCACCTAGGGGGCTGCCAGTCATCCTTTAAAATCCCACACAAATTTCCCCTCCCTAGGAAGCCTTCCTGTTATTAGGGGCTATCGCTGCATTCTTACTGTAGACATCCACCGTCTTGACAGCACGGTGCCTGCAGCACTCCTAATCCTACCACCTTCTGAGCAGCCGCGAGGGACAGGAGCTGGGAGCCAATGGATGGCAGGGGAGGGTGGAGGCGGGCACTAGATGGTGCATCTGGAGAGCAGCAATGAGTCTCACCTATGCCAGCCTTCTCTGCCCCTTACTGTCTGTCACCCTCCAAAGTGCCCGCGGAGTAGTTTACTGACACACTGATGGAGGAAGGAGTGGCCCTTTTCATTTGCCCGTGAGGAACAGTGGCCCAGAGAGGAGGACGTGCTTGTTGAGGGACACAGTGAAACAGTAGGGTGGGATTGGAAGAAAAGTGGCCTTGGGGACAAAGTGCTAGAAGGTGGCAACCAAGGGCCAACAAGGAACCTCCCCTTCTGCAGGGAGCACTGGGTGCACAGACCTAAAGCTGCGTGAGAGAGGCTGTGGTCCGAGGCCGGGCACACTAATCAGGCTTGCACTGCTGCTGCCCTTGGCAGGAGGTGTGTGGCTAGAGCCTGTGTGACTGGCTTACAGGTGGCTCATATCTGGGGACCCCCAGAGCTGGAGAACATAAGGGGCTCAGGGAGTGCAGAATGAGGCGGGCTCAGAATGGAGAGAACAGCTGGGTCCAGGTGCTGTGGAAGAAACTTGTTGCCCTGGGTGCTGAGATCAGGCATTGCAGCAGGGAGGGCTCTCTTTCACTGTGCACGCGGAAAGGCCCTCAGGAGCCCCCCAGCATACAGCTGTAGGTAGAGCCTGACTCGGTGTCCCGGCAGGAGCTCACCTGTCTTCTTCCCTTGCAGCCAAACTCTCCCGGCTCTCGCTGGCGCTCCCACCGCTCACGCTCACGCCGTGCCCGGGCCCGGGCCCGCGGCGGCCACCTTGGGAGGGCGCGGACGCAGGGGCAGCTGGCGGGGAGGCCGGCGGGGCGGGGGCGCCGGGGCCAGCGGAGGAGGACGGGGAGGACGAGGACGAGGACGAGGAGGACGAGGAGGCAGCGGGCTCTCGGGGCCCCGGGAGGACGCGGGAAGCCCCAGTGCCCGTCGTGGTGAGCAACGCCGACGGGGACACGGCCCGCCCGCTGCGGGGGCTGCTCAAGTCTCCACGCGCGGCCGACGAGCCAGAGGACAGCGAGCTGGAGAGGAAGCGCAAGATGGTCTCCTTCCACGGGGACGTGACCGTCTACCTCTTCGACCAGGTAAGTGAGAACCCTTAGGACAGGTAGCACCAGGACTGGAGGGAGGTGGACCTCCTGGTGGTCCAGGTGAGTGGGCGGGCCCAGAGAGATTTGCACCTTCTAGTGCCAGGGGTACCCCGCTCGGTGGGTGGAGCCCGGGAAGAGGTGGTGGCAAGTGGGCGGGGCCTGGGGAATTAGGGGAACTGGACCGGGGTGGACAAGCTTAGAAGGAATAGGACCAGGAATGGGCTAGGTGTTTGTGATACAAAATGGCCTGAAAATCTAGGAGAGACCTAGGGAGTGTTGGTGGGTCTAGAAGGCTGTTAGGTAAAAGCCTAGACAGGCTAGAAATAAAAATAGAGATTAAATACTCAAGAGAATGGGGGCGGAGCCTGGGCTTGCTGAGGGCGGAGCCTAGTGTTTTGGGGCCTGGTTTTTATCAACAACAACCTTAACGACTGTGGAGTGACTCTAATTTAATTTAATATGTGTCTATGTATATTCTTGAGTAGGGGTGTCACCGATAAGCTTCGAGAGTTTTGCGAGGCCCAGTTACTGGGTGGAGCCCGGAGGGAGGTGTTTGATGTGGGTGCTGGGTAACAAACTTTGGTAGTCAGGAAAAGGACTCCACCTTAGCCTCTAAGCATCTCCGGCCTCTTGGGGCTGGGCTTTAAGTGGGCCGGATCTTATCACGTGGAGCTTTAAAATGGAGTGAGTTTGCCTTGGTCGCCCAGATCAGTAATCTCTGCTCTCAGGAGGCAGAGGCCAGACAATCTATAATTAATATAATCTGAATAGTTCAGGACAGATAGGACTACACACCGAAACCCTGTCTCAAACAAATAAATAAACATGCCAAAGTAACCTGGGCCTGAAATCTCTATATTATTTTTTTAAAAAAGGGGGGGGGAGGTTTATTGCCTGAACGAAAAAAAGAGGGTTTATTGTCTGAGCCTCACTAGATAAACCTAGGTCAAGACTGTTTGAAACCAGGCTGTGAGACAGTTGAAAACAGCAGGGTCAGGTGCTGAGTTCAGAGTCACTGAGACCAAAAGATTCCAAAATGGGACTTTTAAATTTTGTTTGTTTGTTTGTTTGAGGCAGGATTTTTTTGTATAGCTCTCTGGCTGTCCTGGAACTTTGTAGAGAAGGGTGGCCTAAAACTCAGAGATCCACGTGCATCTTGGTTTCTCTGTGTAACCCTGACTGTCCTGGAACTCACTTTATACACCAGGCTGGTCTCAAACTTAGAGGTCACCTGTCTCTGTCTCCTGAGTACTGGAATTAAGGGAGCCCTACCTTGCTGGGCTCAAGGTGGGACTTTGAGAGTTTGAGTGGGGACTGGGGTAATTGTCCCTTGGTGCTTAGCTGGAGTTAGGGATTGGGAGGCTACAGGAGCAGGCTGTTAGCTTCAAGACATAGGTTGAGATCTTTGCAGCCAAGTTCTTGGAGGTGGTGCTTCGCGGCTTAGAACTGCTTCTTGGGTTAAGTGCTCGCTGAATTTAGGAATTCCTAAGCTGGGTGGGGCTTCATAGTCAGGAAAGGAACAGAAAACCAGGGTGAGATTAGGGCTTGTAGGAACCTTCGAAGGCAGATGAAGGTCCCATTCATTTCTCCACACGATGCAATGTCAGTGATTACAAACTGGGGTGCCCAAAGCCCCAGCAATATCGTTGAGTTTTATTTCTCTTTGGCGAAGTGGTGATTGGGGTGTGACAATACGTTCCCTATCGTTCCTTTCTCTTGTTTTCATAGGAGACTCCAACCAACGAGTTGAGCGTCCAGGGCACCCCCGAGGGGGACATGGAGCCATCAACGCCCCCAGCGCCCCCGACGCCTCCCCACCCCACCACCCCAGGAGATGGGTTTCCCAACAACGACAGCGTCTTTGGTGAGGGGCAGAATCCAAGATTTGGGGAGTGGGAGGGGCGGGGCTTGGGAATGGAGGGAGTGGCCTTATTATGCAATGGGCGTGTCCTGTGGGAAGGGTAGGACTAAGGGGGACCTGGAAGAAGAGGATTGAATCTAAGAGTCTATCCACTCTTGTAGGCCGGAGCTGGACTGAGGGGCCTGGGAGGAGCTCAGGAAGGCTGGGGCTGGTAGAGATTGGTGGAGGCGGGGAGGTATCTGAACTGGGAGGGATGGGGCCTTGCTGGAGGGTAGGGTTTAAGGCCTTGGGCTGGTCTGCGAAGCTGGTGTATAAGTCTAGTTCACTTTCTCCCTAGGCGGCAGTTTCGAGTGGGCGGAGGATTTCCCCCTCCTCCCCCCACCAGGGCCCCCCCTGTGCTTCTCCCGCTTCTCCGTCTCACCTGCGCTGGAGACCCCGGGACCTCCCGCCCGGGCTCCCGACGCCCGGCCCGCAGGTACAGTGCTTCAGCAGGTCCCTGTCCCACCCCTCCCCAACCTGCCCTCCCTTGCCTTGCTTCTCTCTCTTCCAGTCACCCACTCAGTCACATTGACATTTCCCAGCTCAGACCAGTTGGTTCCCATTCACAGCCTTGGACAGTTACACCGGTCTCTGACCCTCAGGTGCTTCTTCAAAGATCCTTATGTACATACCCCCTTGCCCATCTTTCCCATTTCTGAGCTCAGATACCGTGCTGGATCTCCATACCCTCTCCGAGGGCACTTAAAGCTAGAGGAGAATATGGCAGACACCAGAGACAGGAGTCACTATAGTAGTAGCGAGCTCACAGCGACCTGCCACATTGCTACCCGCTCAATTTTCACTGTGATCCTTGCAGTGGATTTTTGTCTCACGGTTTTTACGGAAAGAACTTCTTAGAAAGGAGGGTAGAGCCGGAATTCTGCCCCGGCTGCTGGCCCTGAGTGCTGCCCTCTTGTGGTAAGCATCTGCGAGTCCTTGTGCTGATGGAAACAGTTCTCTCCTGTCCCCTGCTGGCCACCGTGTTGAACGCCCAGGACGTGGGGAAGGAGCTGTTAGGAATGTTTCTTTCCCGGTTCCCCAGATCCTCTGTGTTCCAGGATTAATCCTGCATTTTTTTCATCTGTGTGATGTTGGCCAATCAGTATCCCTCTCTGCTTTAGTGTCCTTAGCCATAGAACGGTGATGCTAGTGGACCCTCATCCTGGGTGGTATGAGGGTATAAATGGCACAATCCCCTCGATGGGTATGCAGCCTGGAGCTCGTGTGATGGTGTTAGTGACCCAGGCTGTGAACAACTTGCATAACAGCTGGAGGCAGAAGAGTTTAGATAATTCAAGAAGCAGAAGACAGGCCTGGGGCCCCTCAGGGTGCAGAATTAGGCTGAGGTGAATAAATGGGACAAAGTTGTAAAGAACTTGGGGGCTGGGCATGGTGAATGCCTTTAATCTCAGCACTTGGGAGGCAGAGGCAGGCAGATCTCTGAGTTTGAAGCCAGCCTGGTCTACAGAGCAAGTTCCAGGACAGCCAGGGCTACACAGAGAAACCTCTGTCTTGAAAAACCAAAATATATACCACTACTGCTGCTAGTACTAATAAGTAAATAAACAATAAAGGACTTGGGAGAACTCTGCCCACGGTGCTAGGGAACCATGAAGGACTGTAAGCAGGGAAGGGGCTGGGTGCCTGAGGAGAGGCTGGACAAGAGTCTAAGCAGGGGAGGCCTGGGAAGTAGGCACAAGGAGAGAGGAGGGGCAAGGCAGAGTGGAGGGCGGTACAGACAGAATTGGGACTAGACTCCCATGTAACCTCCGGTTACTTCGTGACTCCATGTCAGGACCCCTATGAGCACAGGGCAGGGTGGGTCCAGGGTGTGGGGACATCAGCTAGATAGTGAGTCAGAATCAAGGTTACTGGCAAGGTGACCTCACTCTTAGTCACCCGGAGTGGAGCTGGAGGGCCCAGTGGTATGAAGCCCCAAATCCTTGCCTACTCTTGTAGATACTCCCGCTGGGCCTGGGTGGGGAAGCTGTTAAGCATGTCTGTCTCCTCAGACCACAGCGGGTGCCCCTTGGCACGCCCATATACTCCATCTTTACACCAGGCCCTGAATGAGGGACTCATCCCATGCACTTTGAAAAGGAGTGGGCCATGTTCTCCACTCAAGGAGGGAAATGGGCTCTGGTGCCTCCATGTGTCAGGCCCAGGCTGTCAGCATGCAGGTGTAAACGGGGAAGGATGACTCCTTCCTTACCCCACTGCCCTTGGTGTTCTAGATCCAGAGAATGTTTCAGGCTGTCATGTCTGGGGGGGGGCTAGAGGATGGTCCTGTAACATTTTGTTGGTGAAGGTACTGTGTGACAGACCTAGGCACAGGCCCTATAGTCATCCTATACAGTAAAGGTACAAGCAGACACCAGACACTGGACTTCCACAGTAACTGGTATACTTAGTAAATACTCAATATCTGGGAGGTATACTCAAGAAAAAAAAAAAGAGGAAGCAAGTAAAAACACAGGATGTCCAAGGGTGACAAGGTGATCCAGAATGGTTATGGAAGGCCTCTAAAGAGGGGATCTGAGCTACTTGGGAAGAGCATTTAAGACATTGGGGACAGCAGATGCAAAGACCCTGGAGTAGAATGGTATCTGGACCATCTGAAGGCAGTGTGTCTGGAGCAGAGCAGAGGGCTGGATGAGGACAGAGGATGGGATGGTGCCGCCTACCGGGCCTTTGCCTTGAACGAGTTGGAAACCATAAGCCTGTCTCCTGATTCTGTCTCTCCTGATTCCCATCCTTTCTCTACTCTCTGTTCTCAGGCCCCGTGGAGAACTGACTCCCCAAAGACCCAGCCCCTTTGCACCCCAAGAAGAGGGTTTGCGAGCAGAATCTTGTGTGGACGATGGAGCCATTGCCCCTGACACTGACACAGCCTCTGGGGAGGTGCCTGAGGCTGGGCCCTCCCTCTCCTCCACCATGTGCCAAACAGGAGGCCCAGGCCCTCCACCCAGCCCCCCAGATGAGTCCCCTGATCCCCCTGGTCCCCCCGACCCCCTTGGAGCCACATGAGGCAGGAAGCCCCATCGCTGGACAGACATACTTCTTGGAACTGAACTGAACTCTTTTGGGCCCAGAGCCCCTGGCACAGCAGAGGGCCCAGAGCCCCTGGCACAGCAGAGGGCCCAGAGCCCCTGGCACAGCAAAGGTCCCTCCTGGCCTCATGAGGGCCAATGGCTTCAGGAAACTGGGTCCCCCCCACCCATCTTGCGTCTCCTCTTCCCCCAAGCCTGGTCCCTGGAGGGGGCCTCTGATTCAAACCTTCGCGTGACATTTTCACATTATTTAAAAAAAAGACAAAAACAACTTTTGGAGGAAAATGGGGCCTGTGTGTATTTGGGGAGGTGGGAGGGAGATGCCAGGAGTAGACACTGCATGGAAGTCACTGTCCTTTCCTCACAGCCCTGAGGCAAGGTACCTACTCAGCTGTGGACTTGCCTGCCTCTCCCTTCCAGCCCTTGCCATTGGTGGCAGCCTTGACTTACCCTTCCCTGTTTCATGAGGAGTCAGTGACAGCTTGGGATCAGGCAGTTTGGGTAACCATGTTCCTGCAGGGTCTGAAAGCTGTCACAGGGCCAGACCAGGTGGTGGGAAGGGACTCAGAACTGATCTGCTGAAACTCAGCTGAGCCATCTGCTAGCCACTGCCTGCCCACACTGGCCTGTCTCCGTCTGGTCATTTCCCTGTTACTGCCCACCTTCTGGGCAGGCACAGAAACCCTATCTGTATGATCATGCATGCACATACACACACACCCCACCTCTGGCCCTGGACAGTTCTTCACCTGCCCAAGTGCTTCTGTCTTTGTCCAGTCTTCCTTGCAGTGACCTATGACTGCTGCTCTGGTTTCTTCCTGTTTCTGTGTTCTCCCATGCATCACCCTGTTTCTCTCTACCTTGGTTATACGTTGGATTTTTGTCCGTCTTCTCCCTCCCTACTGTGGCTGCCTGTTCTTTAGCTTCTCAGTGGCTAGGCTGTTGTTGTCTCTGGCCTTGGGTCCCTCATCCCCTACACTTGGGGATCAGATTTATTGGTACATGGAGTGAATTTACATAGTGGAAGAGAGTCAAAGCAAGGGGGTGGGTTTGAGCGGGATGGTATGCAGGGGTGACAGGACACGGGGGTGGGGGGTGGGGTCACAGGAAAACCCTACAGTAGGGTTTTCCCTTATCATAGGATTGGATTGCTGCCTAGCAAGCAGTGACATGCTTGAGAGCCAGGTCTACCCGGATTGGGGAGGAAATCATGAAAGTAGAGTAGTAGGTCTTGGCATGCTAGTTCAAAGAATGAAGATTAGAACCCTAATGCTAAGTCAGAGAAGTGGGCTAGGAACGTGCTCTGTCTGTCTTGCTCTGTGTATCTGTTTGAGGCAAGATCTCTCTGTGGCCCTGGCTGTCCTGCAACCCACTGACTGTAGACCTGGCTGGCCTCCAATTCACAGATTAGCCTGTGTCTGCCTCCTGAGTGCTGGGATTAAAGATGCCATCATGCCTGCAAGGGCCGGGAGTTTTAGGTCTGAGGAAAGAAGGCTGTGGCCTCAACTGGTGGGTGAGGGAGGGACAGGACCTTCATGTCTCAATCTGAGTGGAGACAGCCAGATCCCCTGGTGAGAGCCAGCTCAATCCAAAGTCTGAGATGCTAATGTCCTACCTAGTTCCAGGGAGCAAGGCTAAAGGCCCAATTCCCCAGGCTGCGGGAGGAGGGCTGGGGCCAGGACCCCTGGTCTGAAGGAGGGTAAACTACTGCACTAGCCCTCAGCCCACAAACTCATATTCAGTTATCTTCAACCACAGAAACTTACTGCTTCACAGTTGTGGAGGCTACAAGACCAAGAGCATCGACCTCAGTATTTGGAAAAATCTCTTCCGTGGTTTTGCAAGCCTGGCCTCAGGTAACCGTTGGCACTCCTTGGCTTGTCTGTGCTTTACCCTACTCTGCATTCATCTCCACATGGCACCCTCTGTTACTTTGTCCAAACACCCCTTTTGGGGTCTTTGTTATGTGTGGGTATGTTGGTGGGCATTGGGAAAGGCATGGTCTCACGTAACCCGGTCTGGCTTTGAACACTTCCAACTCTGCCTCACCTTTAGCACACGGATTGACACGAGGCCCTCCTCCCTCCACACTTGGCCTGAAAGGCAGCTTAAAGCATTCCGCTTACTTGAATGTTCCACAAACTTTGGTCACTGTTACCTTTAGATCATCATTCAAGCGTGGCCGATCATCACAGCCCTGGGCCCACGGTGGGGCCTCCTCCATTCCCTACTGCTTTTGTCACTGGGTCTCCACCTCCCTCTACTCACTCTCAGATCACCCAACCACTTTAAACACTGTGCTCCTGCCTCAGTCTTAGCTTCCCACAGGCCTGCACAACCTGTTCTTCCCTCCCATAGCCACACCAGTCACCAGTTGCCAGGCAATGGTCCTGGGGTGAGGAGCCCTACTGCTAGGGGCTTCCATTGTCCACATCTTTGTCACCTTAATTTGTAAGCCAGCATCCAGCTCACACCCACCCCTTATCCTGGCAATCAGTGCAAGCCTTTGTGCCAAGAAAACTTGGTCCTAAGCTGTCAAAGACAAGGATCCGAGCTCAGGGACACACCCACAAATGAGGAACTGGAACCCATATCCCAGACAGTACTTCCCTGCTGCCCAGTTACCATTCCCTTGTCCTGGGTTCACCCACTGAGGCAGACAGGTGAGAGGGTGCTTAAGAACCCTTGACACCCACTGCCCAGTGCTTTCCTGACCCTTTGGGTGACACTAAAGTTGTTTTGAGAATCTCTATTTCACACCAGCCCCTGGGGGTGGAGGGAGTGATTCATCTCCCTTTCCCAACTTCAAGGTAAGCTTCAGAAAAAATACCTAGAATACAAGACTGCCACTGTAAAGACTGCCATTGTCTATTGACATGTAGCCTAAGCCAAAGCCATCTGAAATAGAACTTGGGTGCTCCCACTTACCCAGATCAGTGTTCTTGGGGCATATACCCACAGGAGTTTGCAGATCTAGTACACACCTTCTGGAATCAATTCCCAGAAAGCCCAGGGGCAACATTCTTTCTTCCCAGTCAGGCCTGTATGCTAAAGCATGCTAGAAGAAGCAATTCCTCTACAACTACCACTTCATGTCTGGCAAGGCAGCAGGCAGTCTATAATGCCAACACTGCAAGGACGAGGCAGGATTCAGACTTTACGTTCACCACAGGCCAGGAAAACAGTCATAAAAAAGCTTCTTGGCACCAAATGTGGGCAGGAGGCATCTGGTCCTTTGTTCACTATTCCACCAGAAGAGGACACTTGGGGACTCAGCAGTAACCCTTCAATGAGATCCCCTCTCAGAATCACAAGATACATACCCAGGCCTTTTGATTAAAAACACACACCTCCACAGGAGGCTGGATCTGGGGTTAAAAGAAGCCACTGTCACAACTGCAACCCATGTACCTCATGATACCACTGTGTCCCCTCCAGTCTACCCTGGGGTACTCAATGGACAGCACAGCCAGTTCCCAGTGACAGACACAGGCCCTTCTCAGGACTTGCTCCCTCCTGAGCCAGTCCTTTGTTGTTCTAGCCTTAAGTCTCCTGTGTGAAGTCCTCCCAACGACCACAGGTCCAACATGAATATGGCAGGGGCAGAGCACATGCAGAGAGTACGCTGTGTCTAAACACCATACTGAGACATTAAATTCTCCCTCCACTCAGCACCCACAGGGCTTGAGTGACTTGTCTGGGATGTGCCTGCCTTCTACCCTGTATGCAGCCCAGAGTCCTGGTTAATGTCAAGAGGATGGGTTCTCAGCTCTCCCAAACCCAAGAAATGAGGGCATCTGCAGGCACGAGGGGTTAAATAATTAATAAGATTACCAATATGTTAATTACAAATAAGGACTCAGGAGCTAGAGGTGGTGATTTTCCAAACGGGGAACCAGGATCCACAGCCCCAGGGCCCAGGGGTCCTGCCACCCAGGCGGGGCAGCTCCAAAATAAATAATGGAGTTGGGGACAGGGGTCAGGGTTGTTCTTGCTTCTTCTTCACAGAAATCCGCTTCTTTCTTGCTGCCAACATCTCATAGAAGGGGTCCACGCTTACAGCAGCCCTGCAAAATGAGGTGTGATGAGGACCAAGGGCCTGAGCGCAGGCCCAGCCCTCCCAACTCAGACCCCAGCCCAATGAGGCTTACTGGATGGACTTGATCCACTCATCCTTCTCTTCCTGTGTGGGTGCTGAGATTCGGTACACCATGTGGTTCCCTTCTACTACCCGGCCATCAGCCTCGGTTTTGCAGGCTTTGATGAGCTGCCCCTTATTGTTGGGAATGTAAAGCTCAAAGCAGTTCTACAATACAGAGGAGGAGGCAGGTCAGAGCAGCCATGGGTCAGCACATGGAGGTTAAGAGTTTAAGGGAGGCGCCTCATGAGTCTCACCGGCTTCCGAGGATCATCCACCTCACGAATGCTCAGGTTCTCTAGGGGGATGATTCCTCGGGGCTCCTTGTCCTAAGAGGTAGTTAGGAGTTCAGGTTACATGGGTCCCCCTTAGAGTGAGAGCCAGGCACCGACCCCCTCATCCTGGCCCATGTCTATAAGCTCCGCCCTCACCGTAGTGTACTCAAAGTAGTAGAGGCAGTTGTCTGTAAGGATGAACCAGCGCCGCTTCCAAGTCTTCACCCGGCCCCCTGCAAGGGAAGGGGTGGGAGGGGCCGGGCTCAGCGGGGAACCGCTGGGGGGGGGGCAGAGCAGGAAAGGTAGGGTTCTTAGGTCTAGGACAGAGGCAGTGAGGGAAGATAGGCAGGCAAGGACAAGCTGCTGGGGCCCCAGGAGTTGGGACTCCCTGCTTGGGCCAAAGGTTTTGGCTATTATATTGGCACAGGCCCAAGCCCCTCCCCCTGGGCCAAGGCAGCCCCTCCCTATCTGATGGGGTGAGGGCGGGGCAAGAAAACCAGGTACCTACCTCCTAGGGCAGACAGCGAGAAAGCAGGCAGGACCAGGTGTGGAAGGGAAGGCGGAGGGATGGGGTGCCCCCAAGAATCGCAGCGACAGAAATAGGGGGTCAGGGAAGGGATGCACAGGGAGCCAGAGCCACAGCAAGAGAACAGGCAGAGGGGAGGGGGAGAGAGGAAGAAAACCAGTTACATCTACATGGGGTGGAGCCAGGACCTCCCCCTGCCCACCGAGCTGAGCTCGGGCTTCAACCTTTCCCAGTAGGTGCTCAGCCTGGCCAGGATGGCCCTGACACCCTCTACCCTGATCTAAGGGGTGAGGGTGGGGGGTGTCTTAGCTGTGTGATCTTAGGAAGTCCCTGGCCCTCTCTGTACTATCCACCCATCCATATTTTGCCTGTAGACAAATATGTGGTTATGGAGACCCACCCACCAGTATTTTGTCTGTAACAAGATGGCCTACTGTGGCCTCTGGATGAACCAGTGGGAGTAGACATGTTTTCATCAGCCACGATGGTCAGAATCAAGCCCATGACAGACCCCTGCATCTCACTGGCAAGGCACCTTTGAGCCCGTTTCTTCAAATGAGAAATGGAAAATACTGTTGGCAGAGCAGCTCAGAGCCCCATCTTGGGGGAAGTTGCCTTCTTGCTCCTCCCTATAAACCAGTCTGTTGGGGAACCTCATTTTTTGTGATTCTACTAGCCTCCCTGCACCCTACAAAGGGGTCAGGGACAGGTGCTGCCTAACAAGGGCCATGTGTAGTCACCAAGATAGTACAATGACTGTGAAGACAAAATGCTTTGCTCCAAGAGAACATACCAACATGGCCAGGCCAGGACCTAAAGCTTGGAGGGATGCCAAGCCACTGCTTACCGCCCAAGGAAAGTGAGGCCCCATTCTACCCTCACTCTGCAGGGAGTGCCTGGCGTCCCTACAGCTCACAAGCTGCGTCTCTGAGCAGTGTCCAGACACCTCACCACCATCCCTCCAGCTCAGTCAGAGACACCTCGCTGTACTGCAGGTATCTGAGGAGCTGTATTACTAAGATGGCCTGTACCCAGATCCTGCTGCATGAGCCTCAGGGTTCACACAGAACCTGCAACTGACAACAACTCCCCTGGCTACCCTCTCTGGCCCTGGATAACTGAGCAGCTGGTTTAAAATGAGGTGCCATATTACACTTTTCAAAAAGGACTGCCTGTAACTTCCCCTTCCAACCGGGAACTCAAGAGTCATCTAAAACCATCTGCCTACCTCTGTCCTGTTCCCTCTTCAGCCAGGCCTGAAGCCCAAAGTTATCCCTGTGTTGGCTCACCTTGGGCTGACATTCAGCTGGCTGACAATGAGGCCAAGTCTAGAGCAAGCAGTCTGTGGAGCATCTGATCCTGTCCTGGGCCTTGGAGATTTATACTGAGGTAGGTAAGAGCCTGGCTCATCAGGCTCTGACAGAGGGCTCTAGGCATATGAGTAGGAGGAGAGGCCAGGAACCCTTTATACAAGCCTAGCACATAGACAAGTCTGCTCTTGGCTTCAGCCCCAGTTTTTAGTTGTGGAAACTTGAGGTTCTCAAAGGGGCAAAAACTGAGGACACTCGGTCCTGACTCAGGCCACTAGTGTCCCTGCAAGGTTGCCAGCAGGCTCAGGAAGGGACGTACCCAGCTTCAGGAGCCAGCCCTCTCGGTCTGGGTTGAAGAAGGTGTGTGTGAGATCATTCCCATCATCCTCGGGGATTTTGAAGGGCTCATTTCGGATGCTGTCATAGAGGTTCTGAGGGGTAAAAATGGGTTAGTGACTCCAGGCCCCTGAGCCTTCTGTTCAAGGGTCAGGAAAATCATCAATTGCTCACTCACCGGGGGAAAAAGGGAAACAGAAAACAGAAGAAATCAGAGGAGGGAGGAAAGGAAAAGATGAAGGGATAATGGTGGGAAAGCCTGTTAAGTTCTCAGAGATGAAGGGTGAGCGAGCCCACAAAGCCTGAGAGACACAAAACAAGAACCAAGGGCCAGACCAGGAAACTGGAAGCAGAAGAGGAGACACATTCAAGGGTCATGTCCACACCACTGTGAGCAGCCAGATAAGTTCAGGTACTGGGAGACCCCTGGGGCACAAGGTTAGAAGAGGGGTGGGGCCGGGAACAGCACTGACCCTGAGAAGATCCTCAGGCAGGTCCCCACCCTCATTGATGCCCCGGTTCATGGCCACAAAGCGCTCTAGGCCTGGCTTGTCTCTGACATTTGGATTGTGAAGGCTGGTATTCAGCATGATCACAGCAAAGGACAACACGTAGCAGGTGTCTGTACCGGGTAAAATAAGGCAGTTGGTGATGACCATGACCTTCCTGGACCCTTTGTCTATTCCCCTTTCTTGTGAGGTGATCCAGATTCTAGCACTCCTTCCCTCAGACTAGGTTCACACCCTATGCTCTGGTCCTACCTGTAGACTGGAAGACCCCAGGGTTGCATAAGCAGTATCTCTGGGCAAAGGCCTCCATCATTCGGTCAATTTTCTGAGCTTCTCCAGGGAGGCGGAAGCTCCATAGGAATTGCCTGGTTTGGAGAGAGGCAGGGTAGGCAGAGGTTTCAGGGATGGCAAACACGTCTTAGTCTCTGTTAAAAGCAGACAAGTTATTATCCAAACCTTGTCTGGTGTGGTGATGCACACACCTTTAATCTCAGTACCCAGGAGGGAAAGGCAGGTGATCTCGCTGTGAATTGAAGAATAGCCTGGTCTACAGAGTTCCAGGCCAACCAAGACTACACAATGAAATGCTGTCTCAGTCCCAACCCCTAAACAATCTGATTCCAAATCTCTCTGCTCCAGCTGTCGGCATGCAATTTGATCAGATCTCTAAGTTCTGGCCATGGATTCTTCCACTCCCTTAGTTTGCTAAATTAGACTGGGGGTTGTAGGTGCTTCTGTTGTCAAAAGGAGGACCCGCTGAGTGTGGAAAGCAGGCCCCACCCTGGACTTGTCTTATTTGAGAGTTATTTCCTGGGGCGAGTGTAGCTTGTTTCTGTTCCTGTGGCTCCCCTCTCACAGCTGAGAAGGCCCTGGCAGGTGCATTTCTGCCCCGTCCTCACCGGAGGGCCTGTACCAGGTTGAGGTCGGTGAACTCATGGAGATCCACAAAAGCATGGAGCACAGACAGGTTTAGCTCTTCCCTGAAGGGAGAGACAGTCACATCAGGACTAGTGATAGGACAGATAACAATGTCACATCTTGTTCACTGTGCTGTCCCCTGGCTTCACCATAAGCTGGGTCCTGGAACAGGACACTTTGCTCTTGCAGCCTGTCAGACCTTTTGAGCACACAGAGGACCTGATGTCACTTCTCTCAACTGTTCTCATGATCCCTAGAAGCCTTTATCTTAAGAGCCGGCCTTTATCTAAGAGTTCACAAGCAATTCCTAGTTCCTACATACATACCTACAGAGGGTTTCTATACACTTGTGGCTCTGGCCCATGGCTCAAGACTTCCAGACTATCTCATCCTTTTCAGATGCCAGGTGTGCATACATGGTTAAGCCACTAACATTCAGACTTCAGCAGTACCCCAAACATGTAAATGGTCTACAGGTGCCACTTCCCAATACTTCCCCCCAGAGCCAGTCGGTCTACTGTATCATGACCCAGTGGAGGCCACAAACCCGCTCTACCTCATGAGGTGCTAACGAGGACCAGAGCACACTCCAGGCCTGGCAGCTCACCTTTCCCCTAGGTAGTCCCCAATGGCTGTCTTGTTCAGCCCCTCGCCCTTGTACAGGAAGCGGGCAATTTCCTCAGGTGTGTTCTGCAGAAGTTCATGCTCCACCAAGAATTGGATCCCCTGGAGGGAAGGGGCCAGATATGTGCCCAGGGCAGAGGTTCCTGCTCCCCATGCACCTCAGCATCCAAACCTCCTTACCCTAACAGAGCGTGGTCACCTCCACAGAGCTCCCCATGCACCACCCCTAACCCATTCCCTCAGCCTCCAAGGCTAATTCCAGCATGTACAACTGTGTCCGGCAACGAACAGGTTTGAAATATAACTGAATACACTACACATTACAATAAAGAAATGAAGCACATACCGAACACCTGTCCATCAAGCCATGAACATGGAATCCCTTCCCTGGCTCTTCCCGTGTCACAAACACCCACCACTCTTACTGCCATATCACACCCCAAACTGTAAGCACTTTTATCTAGGGGGATCCCTGAGAGTATGGCAGGGTCTTAGGATTCTCAGCATTGCAAAGCACAGGGCCAGGCTCTCCGAAGCCTCAGTGCACAGACAATCATGGGACACATGTGTAGAGATTCAGAGTCTGTTGCCTAGAGGAAACCTATTGTCTTAACATTTCTAGAACCAGGGATGTCAAACTGTGCCTGAATATCGTCCCTACTAACCTTTTTGGGGTCCATGTTGAACTTCTTCCTGCCCATTGCCATCTTTCGGTTCCGCTGCAAGGTCTTACTGCAAAAGCAGGGTGGGGAGCAGCCCAAGGCAATGCTTGAGCATCCGGGACCCTGGCTAAGCCCATGTCCCCTGGGCTCCCACAGTCCTCACCTGCCCTCATTGGCCTCCAGACCCTCCACCTCGCTCATAGCTTCGCTTAGCTCTTCCCGCAGGCGCTGGATCTCCACCAGCAGCTCCTGCTTCCGTCGACGGATGTTCTCTAGCTCCATGCGTTCCTCTGGAGTCAAGTCTGGGGGCTCTAGGGACCAGGGTCAAAAAATTAGTTCTGGGGGCCAGGACTCCTGCATCCTGAGAAAGGATTTGGGCTGGGGGCCTGGATTCCTGTCCAGAAGACGAATGGGTGCCAGAAGTCTGAGGGGAGAGGGAGTAAGACCCTGAGTCCTTAGTTTGGGCAGAAGTGCCTAGGAATCTCATTTCATAGGTCTGGAGATGAATTTCTGGGCCCATTACTTGGAAGGGAACCAGTCCCCAGGATCCTGGACCTGTTCGGAGTCTGAATTTTAGATGCTTTATTTGGATGCTCTGGCTCCTTGGTTCCAACGCAGTAGAACAGGGTGCTTGGGTATTGGAAGCATTACTTGGCAGGACACAGGGGTTTGGCCTCATGTCTCCATCATCGAAAGGATATTTTGGGGCCCTAGATCTCGGAAGAGAACAGGCCCCTTCATCGTGGTAGAGGGAGGACCTGGGATCCTGGATCTTGGGTGCAAATCTTAGAAAGACACCAGGACTCTGACTTCTGGATCCACCACAGGAGGGATCCTAGCATGGACCTTGGATGCATTTCTCGTAAGGGGGCCCAATTCTGGCTCCATCACGGTGGGAAAGTTGGGGGTCCTGAATCTTGGATGCATTTCTTGGAAAGGAACCGAGGTTCTGGTTCCGCCATAGCGGACACCGTGGTTTGGATCTCGGGTACACAGGAGAGACAAGCTAGGGCAGCAGGATCCTGGGTCAGGGACCGTAAGGACGGCGTTAAACCCAGGTCTGCAGGAAGAAAGTCAGGCCGCTGCTCCCTCGGGTGTACGCCCCGCCCCGCCCCGCTCCGCGCCCCGCCCCGCCCGCCGCCGCCGGAAGCGGACTCGGCCCAAACAATGGCCCGGGACCCCCGGCTCTCGGCCGCGCCGGAAGCCCGTCCCGCGCGCTAAAAGGCGCCTCGCCACTGTCCTGCTGTCCGCGGCGGAGCTTGGGAGCCGCTCCGCCCGCCCGCCTCGCCCGGCCTACCGTAGACACCGTCCTCCATGGCGGCTAGGAAGGCCCGCGGGGAGTCCGGGGCGGTTCCGCCGGCTGGGCCTGCGTCCGCGTTGGCCCGCGGGCTCGAGTGAGCCCGCTCAAACGCCCCAGGAGCCACCGCCGCCTCCTCAGCGCCCGTCCTCAGCGCCGAAAAGACTCTCCCTTCACGGCCCAACCGCCCGGCCGGTGGGGCCCGCCCCTCGTTTTGACACCACCCAATCCGCTGCGGGTCTCTCCGACTGCTCCGCCCCCCGACTCCACAGGATCATTTCCAGGACCAATAGGCACACGAGAAGCAGATACAGGCACGTACAGCTGGCGAGAGACTGCTAGACTCACCAATCGGACTGTGGGTAGTATGTTCGGTTCCGCCTCCGAGACAAAGGAAAATCCTTGGCAGCTTTTTCCTCCAATAAGAAAACCGAAAAAGAAGTGACCAGGAGGTGTGGCTTCATTGAGAGGTGAGATTGCGCCTGCGCACAAGCCAGACTAGGGCTACTTAACCCTCCCTCTCCCCCCCCTCGCCCGCATTCGTTGTTAGGGGGCGGTGCTATGTTAGTTTTGTTGTCAAGGGCGGGGTCTCAACCTCGGGTTGTCGCTGGAGCCACACTTTCTGGGCCCTCCACGCTAGCTTTTGACCGCAGTGGTTGCCAAGCAACTGGGAGCCACACAAGCCCTTCTTTTTGCCTCCTTTCTCAGGGTACTTCTCAGCAGGTCGCTATCTTTGAACCCTTTTCGTACCTCCACATGAGACTTTCCTACACGCCCCAAATCTCCTCAGAGTCAAAGGATGGTAAATAAAAGCATTTTCTCTTCCAAATGTTATGGTATTGGGTATCGTGAATGCACGCTACCTTCTCAGCGCTTTCTCTGTTCTTCAGGCTCTTCCTCTCTCCTAAACTCTCTCTCTTAGCTTCTTCTTCCTAAAATCCTACCTTCCCCAGGCATTCTCCCAAGACACCCCTTTTCCCTCAGAATCTTCTGCCTTGCACTGGCAGCTCTCCAAGACCTGGTACTTAAAGTCCTCTTTCCACCCAACTCTTTCAGTCCTCACACTCCTGCCCTTCTTAAACTCATCCCTCCTCACAGAATTCTTCTCTTTGCAGGGAAAGCAGTGAGGGGCCTGAATGATGAGGACTCCTGCATACTTGTAAATCCCAGGCCCTTGATGGGACTGAAGTGGCTTCCAGGTCTTGTCCTCATTTGTGTCCCTGGGCTGCTTAGGTGGGGGCGGATTCTGGGCCAGGACTTGGTTAAGCCTTTGGATTAGTCATGGAGCCTCCTAATCCCCTCTCTGACCTTTATGAGTGGCCTGACCCATACCCTCCCACATGGAGACCCTGGGTACACCAGTTCTAGCCAGTTCTCTCCTTTTCTTTAGAATCACATGCCCCTGTCAGTTTAGCCCAACTTAGCATCTTTCTCCACCATGGTCCTCTTTGCCTAGTCCCTGCCCTAGACTTAGAGGTGGGAGAGCTGCCAGCTAATTAATCCTGTCCGGTTATTACCTGGGGATTCTGCAGGATAAAGCGAAATGAGAACCAGAAGAGGGCATGGGTGGATTCAGCACTCAGGCAAGCCAATGCCAGTGATGGTGCTGGCTATCAATGAGGAACATGAGTGAGGACACCTCCTCTTTCTGGCAGCTCCTCTGAGGCTGGCCATCAGCCTGCTGAGCACTTAGTTGGCTGCACCATGGGTGAAGGCCAAGAACAAGGACCCACAATTTCAGAAATACAGGCACACTGCCAGAGCTCCTGGGCCTTTAATGCAGTGACAGGATTCCCTTATGAACGCCTCCACTTGTTACAGTGAATATACCCTAGAGACAACAGCTGCCTCTTCCATCTCCAGCCTCTAAGCTGGAGCAGGAAGCTGGTGACACTGGCCCTGGTGATAGCCCATGCTTTTTGTTAGTTCTAAATCTACATACAACATGGATCCAGCCATCAAGTCAGTGCCCTCCCCCACTACCCCTGGAAGGCTGTTTCAGCATGAGGGTAGGGAGAGGAAATCTCAGGACCTGGACTGTATCTTAGCCTCTGTAATGTGAAGGACCATCCTGCTAGGAGGATCCTCAAAGAACTTCAAGCTCTGGTGGCTACTGTTACAGGAAAAATGGAAGCAACACAAGGAAAGATTTGCCTAAAGCCCTGAAGTTACTTGGAGCTGCTGGGATTTAAATGAAGATCTCTCTGAATCTCTGCACAGGACTCCAGTTAGTTTGGGTCGTTCACATCTTACTACAGGAACAAACAGAAAAGATAGAGATCTGTATTTATATCATTTAGAATACACATATGTATAATATCTGTGAGAAATAGACACACATCACTAGGAACAGTAATCCAGAATATTTTAGGCTTGCCAGCCTCAGTCTCTTTCTTCCCCTTTCCATTAGTTAGGCCTGTGATGGTCCAGGCTCTTGCTCCCAAGCTCCACCCAGAACAGTATCTGCCTCCTAGAGCTCTCAGGCTGCCCATCTGAAGGTGACTAGGACTTCTAGGCTTTGGGAAAGGTCAGCTCTGGTCTCTGGAGGTTTGATTCCTTTTGGCATTACAGAACCACAGGAAGCAACCCAAGGTCATGGAGATCCTCAACCCAGCTGGGCAAAGTGGAGCCAGCAAATCACAGATGTCTAGAATCCTACCTGGACTCTGATCAACCCTGAACCATAGAATCCTGTTTCCTTTGGATGTTCTAAGAATGGCACTTCAAACAAAAACAAAACTCTCCCTGTGGATCATGGAGAAGCCAGCCCCAGCCCCTCAGCCAGAACCTAAACAGCCCGGGCTCCAGAGCCCTCCAGCATCTGGAACCTTAGTCTGTCATCTTAGTCCTTCCAAACTCAGAAACCTGTCAATGTTTTGTATATTCTATAAACATAGCTTTGTAGTTTCTGGAGCAGCTCCACTCTCCTCTAGCCAACCTGTTCTAGAATCCCCAGTGTCAATCTAGACTCAAGAGAATCTCAACTCTTTGGGCTTTCTGGAGCCACTGGGCCTTTTCTCCACACATGGTCCAGTCACTGTTCTATCTTTGGTCAATTATGATGATCCTGAATCTTTGGAGTATTCTATCATTGCTTGAATCTCCATTTCTTGACCTGTGTAGATTGACATCTTTCTCCCTGAGGCTGTGTATCTCATTGATGTCCAATCAAAATCCAGCCTCCACGCCTCATCTCTTGTATGGTCCAGAAATCTGATCCCTTGGCTCTGTTAAGACTCAGGAATCCAGCTCATAAAGGGGTCTCGGGAGTGGGAACGGAGCAGAGAAATAAAGGTGTGGTATATCTGTGGTAGACATCTTCATGGTTAATGGTTATCTCAGCAAGCCACTGGTCCTGAGAAACCCCTGCCCCACTCCCAGAGGCTGGAAGCTCTCCATCCCGGTCATCTTTGGGAAGGGGTGTCATATGGGAAAGTGGGCCTCAGCTGTGTCATGGAGGCAGAGTCAGTGCCAGGGTTGGTGTAAGAGCCCGGGGACTGGGAGCCCTGTCTGGGGTCTCTGCTGAAGTTCCCTCCTTAGTGTCCTCCTCTTCATCTTCCTCCTGGCAGCAGCTCAGAGCAAGTTCATTCTCATAACAAAATGCAGCAAGGGAGCCAGGAAAACTTGACTTAGGGCTACTGTGAGAAGCCTGCTCTGCCCGTTCATCCAGCTCCTTGGCACTGCAGACTGGTGTCCCCGGGACCTCATATGTTCGATGGAAATGGCGATAGTCAACCTCATATTGGGAGCCACGCTGGAAGAGGACCGGCTCAAAGCGATGTCCCCAGAGCAGCTCGCCCGGGAGGTAAGATGAGCGGCACTGTGTAGTCATCGCTGTGGCCTCAACCATACCTTCAAGGATGACCACCAGCTCAAAGTCAGCCCGGGCCAGCTCAGCCCGGCCCAGCTCATACAGTGGACTGGCAGAGTCAATCTCATGCACAATGGTAATGGGGGATACGAGGAAGATGCGATCAGTGCCTCCATCAAACCCAACGTCTACATCCTGGTGGTCCAGCGGGATGTACTCACCCTCTGGGGTCACACGGGGCTGTGCAGGAGCAAGAGGACAGAGTCAGAGAAGAGAACAAAGACTACAGAGAGAACGAAGAGCAACAAGTGAGGTGGATCCAGAGACAGGGGCAGAGGCAGAGGCCAAGAGAAAGGCACACAGACCCAAACCCTGGGAAAGGGGAACACAAACTCCAAAGAGAGAGGGGGACACAGACCCCCCCCCCCATGGGGACTAAAACCCAGGAGCAAGGGAAGACAGAAGAGTCCTGGACAGAGAGGGATGGAGACTCGGAGAGCTAGAGACTCAGAGACAGGAAGATATAGGAGGGACATCTGACTCCAACAGGAACTATTCTATGGCTGTTGCAGGCACTTCTGCCTCTCCATCCCACTGAGTATAGTGATGAGCACAGAGAAGTGTGTGTCAGTACTGACAGTTTCACTTCCTACTTATTACCCTATGACTGTCTTTCAGGCTGTGTCACTGTCCCATAGACCTCTGGAAGAAGTGTCCTTCTGGTTCATCTTGGGAGTTTCAAAGGGTAGGAGCTCAAATATGGTTGGGGCTCTTTCCTCTGTGCCCCAGGGGCTTCTGGGAGCCATATTTCCCACAGTTAGCCACACTCTCACCTGACCGTAAGTGCAACCTCTACTAGGCCAGTGCTGACTGCAACTCAGTGGTTTGCTGGGAACCCAGATGCTTGAGCAGTGTAGCCCCAAGTCTAGGAGCATCATGGCTTCTACAGCAGGGCTTGGAAGAGACTGCTGTCCCAATGGCTGGGGAGAATGGCCTCGTGCTGGGACTGTTTCTAGCCTAGGTGTCTACTCATTGTGCAGAAGGTTGGTAGGAGAGCCTGGGACCCAAGTCCTGAGCTGCTGTCTTCCTTTCTCCTGGGACTTGTGCCTTGGATAGGGGCAAGGCCTCACAGTCTCCAACACCCACCCACACATCTCAGGCTGCTGCACAGGCACTTCTCTGCCTTAACGCTGCTGGGAGCTGCAGAAGGATCACGGGAGGGCAGATGCGGTTGTCTGTGTCTAGACCACTCAGTAAATTATCAGGCAGCCTCCAGATCAGGGGGCTTTTTCTACACTTTACGACTGGTCCTCTTCTAAACACACACACACACACACACACACACACACACACACACACACACACACACACAGACCCCTGTAGCAGCTGGGTCCCCTCCCCAGCCCCCACGCACCCCCTCACCTGCAGCAGCTGGGCCCGCACATGAGCCTCCACCAGGTGGCTGCGCCGCAGGTTGCCCACCCGCCACATGAGGCAGAGACGGCGGTCTCGCAGAGCCACCACTGCATTCTCACTGAAGACCAGTGTCTCGTTGCGTTTCTTGGGCTTGGCCATCTTGGCCATAACTGCACCCACGACGAAGGCGTCGAGCACACAGCCTGCGATGCACTGCAGCACCACAGCAGCCACAGCAGCTGGACACTCCTCGGTGACGCTGCGCACACCATAGCCTATGGACGTCTGTGTCTCCAGTGCAAAGAGGAAGGCAGCCAGGAAGCTGGCCACTTGTGAAAAACAGGGCGCCGGGGGTGGTGGGGCAGCTAGGTCGCCGTGCAGCGAGGCGATGAGCCAGAAGGTCAGGCCGAAGAGCAACCAGGAGGCGAGGAAGGAACAGGAGAAGAGCAGGCACATCCAGCGCCAGCGCACGTCCACACATGTGGTGAACAGGTCACTTAGGTAGCGTGCGCCCTGGCCACCCAGATTCACAAAGCGCACATTGCAGTGCCCATCTTTTTTGACGAAGCGCCCGCGGCGCCGGCTCCCAGCTACTGGCCCAGGTGCCCACCCATTGCGGCACAGGCCGGCCCCCGCCTCCTCCTCATCGCCAGCTCGACTGTCTCCTGGCTCCAGCGCGCCGCTCAAGCGGCGCAAGGCCCTGGCCAGGCCCATTGGGTGGGGAGACCCCCTTTAGATTTGTCCTAGCGGGGGGCAGGCGCCCCAAACCTGCAGGAACAAAAGATGGGCAGGAATGTCAGGGGTACCAGGAACCGGAGGACCCACTGGCCACAAGACTGTGTTCTGCATCCTCAGCTAACAAAAAGGGTAGGGCAACTAATGGGACATTTAAGACTATCCTGCCTGCCACAGGAAACTTGGTACAGGTACAACTGTAACGGAGGGTTTCTAGTCCAAGTAATCTTGTTATGAAGTATGCCAAATTGGTGGCTTACACTGCTGTAAGCACTGTTTATGAATTTACACATTTGTGGGGTTTTTGTTTGTTTTTGAGATGGTACTAGCGTGGAACACAAAGGGACTCCTGAATGCTAGGCAGTGCTCTACCACTGAGCCATGCCTCTAGCACCAAGAACAGAGTTTTGAGATAAACAATATAATTTTACAGATATAAACTGCTTAAGACACAGCTACTCAAGCTAGGGTTTGAAAGCTAGCAGTTTAGTTCCTGCAACCTTGTAGGTGATTACCAATACCAAGTATCAGAAGATAAAAACCACAGGCCCTGGTGTGTGGTGCACATACTGTAACTCCAGGACTCATGAGGCTGACACGCCATAGCATGGAGAATTTGAGGTCGGCCAGAGCCACAAAGGGCCATACATGGTTCATACAAGGGTTCTATCCAGCAGAGAAAAAGAAACAATAGACAAACATCAAACAATATGAACAACTTCTTTGTTGAGGCTACCTCATGAGCTCCGGGGATGTTTGCACCCCAGCCTCCGTAGAATGTGGGAACACAGGCCATGCACCTCACATTTTAAATGGGAGCAGCTAATTCCAGGGATTGTTCAGTTCCCTGTATCTTCTATATCATTTATACCTGCTGAATTCGCCAAACTCAGACCAAAGCAATGTCCTCTGTACTGAACGTGCAGACCATTTTACACATCTGTATTCCCTGAACAATACTGTAAATACTGGTCTACTGAGCAAATTCCAGGACAGTCAGGGCTATAGAGAAACCCTGTCTTGAAAGACCAAACCAACAAAACTCCCCGATATATAGCATTGCGTTGTTCTGTATTGGAATCTAGAGGTGTTTTGGTTTTGAGACAAACCAAACTGCAGACTGGCCTGGATTGGATCCTCCGGCCTCCTCGTTCTGAGGGAAAGGATTACAGGTCTAAAGCACTACACCCAGCTGTGGAGAAAACTCTAAGCACATGGGACAGTATGTGGCAGTTACCTCCATCTGAGGAAAGAGGTAGGTTGGAGAAAGTACGCAGAGTTTCTTCCTAAGCTGATGAAAGTCCTAGCATTACTGCAGTGATAGCGGCACAGCTGTGAATACAATGCAGTGATAGCATTGAATGGCTCAGGCCGTGTGGCCCAGTAGCAGTGCTGGCTCCATGCCTCAGGCCCCTGGGTTTTAGGCCCCAGCATTCCAACAAAAACATCAGATATGCTGATAGATGAATTGCTTTCAGATGAAGCTACTAAGTTCAGCCTTGACCATCTGATCTGAGGCCACTCCTCCTATTCCTCAGTTTCCTTAACACGGATAGGGAGATCATCCCAGTAAGGAAGCGCCTCTGGTCATAAAGACCTGCTGGTCAGTGTGGAGGACAGTGGAGTTCTGAGTGCTAGGCTCGTCTATACATCAAGACCCTATCTGAAAAAGGACAAAACAAAAATCCCCGAGGGCCTGATCTGATTAGACCAACCCAGGCTTCCTTTCTGGAGTTCTGATTTGCTCATTTGAAGGGTGGAAACCAAAATCCCTGACTTGAAAGGTAGGAGGGGCTCTGAAGTCCTTGGGCATTTCTAGGCCAATGCCTGACCTAGACACTCAGTTCTGACAGTGGGTAGGTATAGTGGGTGTTTATGGTCCTTCCTGAGCCTGAGTGGAGGACAGGCTTGAACCTTCAAGCTCACCTCCAGCCACTTCAGGGCTAATCGGGTGCAAGTGTTACCAGTGTTATCTACAGCTTTGGACTCTAGGTACACCAGACTAGACTCTAAGGGCCATCATGGGCTTTAGTGGAAGGATCTGAGTGGTCCATGTAAGAAGGCTGTGTGAAGTTTGGCACTTATGGTCCAAGAGTGCCTTGCACCTCCTTTCTTGGTCTCCATGGTACCCAGAAAGTCCAGCCAGGGCTCCCTGACAGGTGCTAACCTGTGGCTAAGAGGACGAAGCTGGACAGAGTCAGCACAGCAGCCCAGAATGTTGAAGGTCATTCTTGGGAGGGGAAGCAAGCTGCTCTCCCAAGAGCAGGTGTACAGTTAGAATGTGTAAATTAACTTTCATGAGCAGCCTTTGAAGCAGGATTCTGACTTTGTAATGGTTTCCAAGAGCTAGCCAGGGAGAGAGGGAAGGTGGAATCACCCAACTTCAAGTCCCTTAACTGGAGAGAGGCGGCAAGTTCAGACACCAATGAGTCCTTGGATGCCAAGCCCCAGTGATGACCACAGTGCTGGCAGTGGGACAGGACAATGTGTCTATGGAAGACCTGCAGTGCCCATGGTACCTACCAGCCTCTAGGGGTCACCTTGCATTGATTGCTTAGGGTGCCAGGGCCCAAGGGTTTTACCCCATCTCACTCTGAGGCTCCTGTACTAGGGTGGAAAGCTGGCTTGGGTCCCAAACCTCTAATCCCAACTCTGCTACTGCCTGAGGTAGAGCTGTGTCCCCCTTAGACTGGGTGGGATTTATACCTTCAGAGCCATCTGCATCCCACACGGCCCACCACTAGGTGGCTCCTGCAAAAGATGGAGTGGAGGATCCTGATCCACACCCCATCTTCCGCCTGACCTACAAGAGCAGCTTAATGTTTCCATTTAAAGGAGCCACAGGGCTTAAGGTGCTTCAACTTCATGTCAAAGTCACTATATAATCTGGAGCCAAAAACCCCGCCCCTCCCATTCACACAAAGTGGCACCCCTACCTCTGCCAAGTAGTGGCTACAGAGGGTGCTGAGAGAGCCCCAAAAGAGGCCCCTTAGGGGGATTCCTGTCTTTTCCTGGTCTCCAAGACAGCCAGATAACCCAGCCACACTGGTGTAACTAGGCCTAAAGAAGATGCAAAGCCAGTGTTGTGAGTTGGGGGTGGGGGGTGTGCACATGGACAAAGACCCAGAAAGAGTGGCAAAGACTGACACAGAGGACCAGAGACATAGAGGGAGGCAGAGACCCAGACAGAGAAGCAAGAGGTCAGAGTGGCATGATCCAGGAGACAGACCCAAGGGGGTTGTGGGGTGCAGAGACTGACTCGGAGAAACAGAGACCTAGTGAGAGGACAAAGACCCAGAGATGGAAACAAAGTCACAGTGGTGATGAGCTGGAGACAGAAACCCAGAGAAAAAGACAGATAGATAGAGACCTAGAGAGAGGGACAGACACAGAGAAACCAAGTCACAGTCGAGGTGAACTGGGAGACAGAAACTCAAGAGAAAAAAAGACAGGTAAGACAGAGACCAACCAGAGAAACAGAGACCTAGAGAGGGGGTAGAGACACAGAGAGAGAGAGAGAGACAAAGAGAGACAAAGACCGGACAGGAGACAGATGGGACAGGCAAGACCCAGAAACGTCAGCGAAGGCTGAGTAAGAATTGGGAGAGAAATGAAGTTCGTGTCCTGTGAAATATAGACAGGTGGGGAGAGTGAGGGGCTGCCTTTCAAAGGGGGAATGGGGTAGAGAGAAAAATTCATTTAGTCGGTTATCGACCGGAGCTAGAAGCCAAGAAACGGGGTCCTAGAGCGGGAAGCCTTCTGGATGGACCATCAGGGAAGGTGTTGGGGGAGAGGGAAGATGAGGTAGGTTGGCTCATGCCTGCACTTACCTGAGGGGGGCCGCCCACCCCCATTCCCTGCACTGGGGGTTCCTCTGCTCAGGCTGGAGAGGGGCCTCTGTGGGTGCTAATGTGTTCAGGTCTGTCCTCGGCCCCTGGGGCCTGAGCTGGGGCACTCAACCTCTGAGCTCCAGCGGATCAGGGCCTGAACAGAGGGGGTTGGGGGTGGAGCCGGCTCAGCACTGCAGAGGGGGAGCCAGGGAGGCTGGCCAGGCAGGGCACTGGGCTGCGGCCCAGGCAGACTGGAGAGGACAGTGCAGATAATGGGTGGGAGGCAGGGAGGGACAGGAGGGATAAGAAACATGGGAAATGAAGGGCACTGACGGCTTAGGGAACTTAGCAGGAAATACTGAGGAAGTAAAGAAGAGGAGGACACGTGGGTCCCCATTTCCCCTCAATGATGCCTTAATAAGCCAGTGGTCCAGAAAGAGACATGCAGGTACTGACTCAGAGCCAGACAACAAGGAAAAGTCCAGAGAGGGTGAGAGTCCTATGGGTGAAGGGCTACAGGGAATAGCTCTATACCAAACCCCTCCCTGCTACCATTAGGTTTCTCACAGTAAGGAAACTCAAAGGGCTGATGCCTCAGTGTTTGGGGCCTTATTGTGGTTCTTTACTGCAGCAGAATCCCCAGACCCTCTTCCAGTATAATAGTGGTCAGCACAGGAGGGCACCCTAGACGGCTCCCAACTTGGATTTCAACCAAATCTAACTGGCCAGAAGGCAGAGAGAGAATTAAATTCCACTGGGACCCAGACTTGGCACAGTCATGGCAAAACCCCTAAAAGTTCCTGAAGTCAATCAACAGCCAGAACTAGGTCCTGGGTCAGAGGTGCTTGGGGTCAAGCCAGACGTAAACACTGACAAAAGTCTCATCCTGAGGCCATGTCTGGGACCGGCAAGGGTCTTTGCCTGAACCTAGTCTTTGGTGTAAGGCAGAGCCAAGGTCAATCCAAAGCCTTAGAGATACTAGGTCAGGAGAATCCATCACTTCTGTTCCACATAGGCCAGCTGAACAAGTCTTCCTTTCTGAGGTGCAGTCTACGGGCCGAATGATCCTTGCCAAGTTAACGGCTCCAGTTCCCACGTAGACCAAGGCCTGAGGCTAAGTGTTGGCCACCTCAAACGCTGATGGTCCGG